TGTTCCCCTGGTGCATGCTGCCTCCCACCCCTTACCCTCCTCTGTTGTCCTGGCTCCTGCCCTTCTCACTCCCCTCAACCTTTTGGGGACCTGCCCCCCTCCCCTGCACCAGCCCTTCTCTTCCCCGTGTCCACTCCTCTTCTAGTCCCACTCTGATCATCTGTAGCTACCCCTTCCAAACCCCTCTCCTTACATCTCCCTCTACCCACTTGCCCTGCCTCTCTCCTCTGTCGCCTTTCCCTTCCCTCCCCTCCACGAGTCTGCCCTTCTGCTTCACCCCCACAATCCTCTGGCACCTGCACCTTCCCTTACCTCTTGGTGCCTTCCCCTTTCTTCTGCTGCCCCTCTCCTCAGCACAAGCCCCTTACTCCCCTCACCCCCAGCTCCCCTTTAGTTCTCACCCTGCCCCTTCCCTCACCTTCTGCCTTCGACGTGGAAAGCAGTTTGCAGGGCCAGCCCCAGATGCTCCTGGGGTGGATTTTTAGTACCGCAGTCCCAGTCACTGCAGGCAGCCCGGTTCCAGCTGGAGCCACCCACGGGGACTGGGACCACAGTACTAAAAATAGCACTGTGGACATCCTCCACTCCAGCCCCTGCACCTGGCGGGCCCGGCACCTGAGAGCCCCATCCCACAGCACCCCAGCCGGGCTCCATGTAGCTCCTGCCAGGGCTCCAAGGAGAAGGAGGCAGTGCCTCCAGACAAGAACCCCACACAGCAGAGGCAGTCCCGTGCCGGAAGCCAGCCCATCTGCCCTACAAACCCTGCTCAGGGGGTGGGGGAGGAGGCTGCTGCACTGTGCAAGGAGCAATGACACCACGCCATTTCTTGCTTCTTCCTGCAAGCTGATATCCCCGTCAAGTAGTGAAATATCTGGCAGGACTTTCCAGGACATTTCACTAGTTGATGGGGCACCAGGACAGAGTGTTTAAATTCAGGACTTTCCTGGAAAGATCAGAATGTGTGGTCAGTGTACACATGTGGCTATTTGGCGGTTGAGTGTGGCTAGTTTGCTATAGCATTAGCCATATATTGTAGGAAAGACAAGTGAAAATTTGTGTACATGCACTGAACAGATTTAATAATAAACCACCAATTTTAACTATAGTAAAAATCTCAGAGTTCCAAACAATTCAGGAATAGAAGTTGTTTGCAAGTCTGAATAGGGGTGTTAAATTTTGATTAATTAACTAATCAAATAGTCAATGGGAAGTCTATTGACTATTCGATTAGCCGATAAGGAATATCAAAGGTGAAATGCTGTGCAATGCACAAGAGCCCCAGCAGGGACTCTTGTGCATTTCAAAGAGGAAGTGCCAGATGCAGCCTGGGGCCATGCTATTTTGGGGGGAAGGGTTTCTGCTGCTTCTTGATTGTGTTCCTCCAGTGGCAAATTAGGTGTGTAGTTATTGATCAGTTTTTAACTCCTCTGTTCATAACTCTAAGGTTTACTGCACTTACATTTTAATTCAGGATGCCACACTCAGATAAAGGACAAGTTAGTCACTTGAAAATATGTTTTTCGTTTGTAAAGCCTATCATGGCTTGACTGTATTAATTCATTTAAAAATGTGTTTAATTGAACATTAACTAATTAGTATAAATTAAGATATTGAAAAATGGTAATTTTTGGTGTTTTAATGTATCCAATAATTCACTTGAATAGACTATTTTTAGGCATCTCAACTAACATTTGCAGAACAGCACTGTCCTTGTGCATCAATTTGTAAATTTTTCAAACTGTTGCCCGACAGTAACAACAAAACTGATTACTAAGTACTCTTTGGGGATAGTCAAACATTTCACTTTAAGGGTACATTAATTAATCATTGACCCTTCCTACCCTAATTAACCCAACCATAACTGAGACAAACTTGTGTTTTCATTTTTAAACACATTAGAACTTCAATCACTGCATGTTTTAAATGCAGTGATTTCTCTCAAAATGAGACTTCTGTTTAGTCAGTTTCACTTTTACATACTTAGCACTCAAACATTTGGATTTTAAAGGTTGAAGAAGAACATTTGTTTACAAGCAATTTCTTAGTTTATTTTAATTGTAGTGATAATTTTATTGGTCTTGAATTTGTTTTGCAAATCTTTTTACAACTGTTAAATTTAAAGCCAAATTTAAATTGATTGTGTTCTTTACAAAAAAAAAAAATCAAACAGCACTTTTCACATTAATGATAAGGAAACAATCCACATTATGTGGTCCCAAAGGATATAGTTAGCGCAGGAAATCGGCATCCAAATTAGCCTAGTCCAGGTGTCAGCAACCCCAGTACAAAACCACACACTTTTTACAGTGTTCTTCCCATTTCTGCACTCATCTGTGTTTGTGGTAGAAGAAGGAGGACATATTTCATAATTCTTTGAACTAAGATTATCTCTAATTCTTTTGCAGTCAGTTGAGGGAGAACTTGTTACTTTTCTCACAATTCCCCATGAAGGCCAATCAGCACTTGCCTCATTAAGCTTCTATCCCTACTGCAAAGTGAACAGGTTCCAGCCCAAGCTAAAGCAGAGCCCAAGCTTATAGCTCTTCCAAACAGTATGTAGACCGTAGATGGGGGGAGAGGCTAAAACAAGGGAACTCTGCAATGAAGACCTACCAAAAGTATTGACATACGCCTATAATAGGAAAAGAAATTATAAATTGGTAATTTTTACAACAGTTTTTGAGGCGATGGAGAATCAAAAAAATAAATCACAAATCTTTCAGCCCTAAATAAGAAAAGAAAAGGATCCACACGGATTATATTTGAAGACTACTAGCAAACTGTAATACTAAAACATGATATACAATTGATGATAAAGTCACTCAAGTTTTTATGGGGATGATCTATCCCCCTCACTACCTTGGGAAATATTGCACTTATATTCTCTCTGCATGGCATGCTTAGTTGTTTCTGAGGAGTTTACAGATCAGGTCAGAAATTGTTATTAAAAGATCAGCACAATATATACTAGAGATAATTCCTCTCTCCTTCCAATAACCAGTGAAAAAGAACATATTCCCCTTATCAGAACTACTTGTTTACTTACTTTCTCATAGATTTACAACCACACACAACAAAAACCCCACACCACAAAATTAGGAAAGTTTTCAATAGGAAAGCTCTCAAACAGACATTCTTGTAGCAAAAAGCACCACACTATATACATATCCTACCTTTTTGTTTTTGCTCATTCGAGTTACCATAATTGACCTCACAACTCTTTCACCTGTTGAGACAGTCTAAATGTTTCAATTCAGTTAAAAGTTTCTCTTTAAACCCTTTTCTAGACTAAGATTTAAAGATGGGGTACTACCATGTTAGAAAACACATACCATTTTAAAAAGTCTAGTCTAGACAAGTTAAATTGCTTTATAATACAGGCTAAACTTGTCAAGTTAGTGCATCTTGTCCAGACCATTACCTAACATGTGCTAACATCTATACAGAGCCCAAAACTTTCAAAAAAAAGATAGATGCATAACAGACCACATCACTATCACCTTACACATAGTGTGAATACTATTGGCATGTCGTTGGACTTTTTTGAAGCACAAGTATCAGAGAAATCTCCTTGCCTCTACTACTTACTAAAACCATCCTCACTCACTCTTCTTTACTCAAATTGGCTACTAAAAACAAGATAAGTTCAAAACCTACACAAATCTTATTTCAGTAAATATAATAAAGTTACTGACATAAATTGTGTCCTACCATATTTTTGTTAGCCTGGAAACGATATCAAAGTACTTTTTATTTAGCAAACACTTGTACAGTATCTAGAAATAAGAAACTGTTCCTTTTGTAAAGCTATAAAACTAATTGCTCTCTTTCATTCAACTTCTAAACCAGATGCATTCACTTTGCACATTAACTTCAAGATACATGTATGAAGCACTGTTAAGTTAGACACTTACGATAAATGCCAAAAAAAAGTAACAGAAAGAAAAAATAAAACTTATGCACACTTTATATCAATTACATTAAACCTCAAATATAGAAAACACCCTTGTTGCAGGTACCTCTTCATATGAGCTGATGACACCAAAACCAATCTACAGAACAATTTATATATTTAATAAATTCGCTGAACACATGAAAACCAGTAATCAAACTAGTAACATTTAACGTTCAAATACTGGAATGTAGTTACTAACACATCAGACCCAAAAGAGTATAATTATTTCAACAGTATTCTACAGTTACCAAAAATGAGGATTTATCAGAATACTTCCGGATTCTTAAGAAAGCTTCATTTGGAATAAGTTAAAAAAAACCAACCTGATAGCAATATAATGATAAAAATAGTTAATTTCTATTTGTACAGAACCTTGAGCACTGTCCATTTAAAAGTGACTGTAATACTTGCAAGTGTTTGGAAACACATACCATTTTATCTGCACGTTATCTCTGGGATGCAAATAAGTCATATATTTTATCCTTGTCGATTTTTAACAAGTTCTCTCTATTTATTAGCTAAAACACCTCCGTTTGATTTTTTCCTGATGACTGGAGAATAATGAAAGCTAAGCAGCACCAGCATTCAAGATTCTTGATCAAAGAACCCTTACACAGTCCTTGGAAAGACTAAACTTAGAAACTACACATCTGAGAGAGTCAGAAACATCATTATTGGAATGTCTAGTTACAGTACTTTAGTTGCAGTTTTGGACTTTGTTAGCAAAAGAGCTGCTTTACAGCAAAAACGTTTATTATCTCAAATGCATGATGTATGTTTTCTAGCTTCTTTAGCAACACAGCCAAACACTGCAGCTAGCTAACGACTAGAAGACGTGCACTCTGTGGGTTTTCCAAAATGACAGTAACGTGACAAGTATTCCCACCATCCCCACCTCCAACTTCCACACCTGACATAGAAATCGCGAACCCGAGTGCAGACGGGGGCACTTCAGCCCACCACCACAACAGGTGCCTGCTCTGTTCAACTTCTGACTCGTTCCCGGCCTAGGGGGCTGCGGAAGAGCCCGACCCATCTCACCTACCATAAGGTCACAGCCGGAGAGTCCTGCCATCCCCTTCCCACTCCGCAGCCGGGATCATCGCCCCGCTCTCCCAGCCCCCGGGACCAGAACGACAAGAGCAGCCCTGGCCGGGCAGCGGGGGCCGCAGAGCCCAACACCTTCATGCCAGGGAGAAAAAGGTGTTGAGGGGGCTGCGGAAGAGCCCGACCCATCTCACCTACCATAAGGTCACAGCCGGAGAGTCCTGCCATCCCCTTCCCACTCCGCAGCCGGGATCATCGCCCCGCTCTCCCAGCCCCCGGGACCAGAACGACAAGAGCAGCCCTGGCCGGGCAGCGGGGGCCGCAGAGCCCAACACCTTCATGCCAGGGAGAAAAAGGTGTTGCGGCCGCCCGGCCAGACCCAGCCTCCCCAGGGCGGCGCGGGTGGAGGGGGCCACGCTCA